GATCTTAGCCTAATCATAAATGAAGTTCGAGGTTGAGTTCGGTATATTATTGTTTACAGCTTAATTCGTTGGTGTTCCGGTTTGTCAATTTACGAAAAATCACCATCTAAGGATTTATTAATCATTAAAAAAAAAATTTTTTTAAACGATTTTGACTGCAAGATTACAAAATTAAGTGAAAACTTGCACGTGATGAATACGCGCAAATCATTATACCAGTTATAAACTTTTGATGAATTTTCTGATCAAGAAGTTTGATTCGATTGAATATTTTCTTTACGTTCGTTTTCGTAATAGTTACATTTAATTTAATTATTTGAATACATATTCTTCAGATGTACTAGTCCTCGTAAAATTTCTATAGCTGAATAAATTGGAGGATGACCACTTGATTTCTCTCATAAGGGTAACCCAACATTGTAAACGTCTCTCTTTTCGTTAAGTTTAAATTGTGGTGATGTATTGTCATTTCTTCGTTTGTTAAATAATTTTGGGTCAACATAAGGAATTGCTCCAAAAACATTTTTACTAATTAGTTACTGCAACAATTCTTTTCGATTATCCAAAGTCGGCGAGTTTAATAATATCTCGATGAAATAATATATTGCCAGAATGCTAAGATAAATAAATAATAATTGATCATAACATTACTAAATTACAATGCACAATTCCTTCTTCATGTAAAACGATACAATCTTCAAATAATTTTAGGGGCAAAACCCGAAGGTTTCGACAGGCATCGAAATCGAAACCCGTCGAAACGTTTTGTCAAATATTTTTATTAAAGGCAAAATTGCGAAAGTTTTGACGTGTGGCAACAGTTTCGATGGATGGCAAAACCCATCGCAACCTTCTGATATTAAAATACAATTTTTGAATTTAAAAATTCATTATTTTTGTTTAACGAGATGAGCAAATTGTATATAGCAAAGATCACTTTCTTTATAATATATTTATAAAGGATAAAAAAAAAAATCCAAAAATTTACATATTTGATAATTAAGTTCAGTTACATCATTTATCTTCCATATTTTCTTCATTTAAACTCATGACAGTATTCTTCATCCATTAAACTTTCATTTGAAAAATCAATATATAGAGGATGGTTGGAACTGGATTCGAAATTCGGATTTAAATCGGGATTCGATTTTTAAAATTAAATAAATCCGGATATAAAAAATTAATCCGGTTCCAACCTCTAAACGATGGTACTTGTTGAAAAATTACCTTATGAAGAAGTTGATGTCATCATCTTCATTAGGTAATTTTTTCTAATTCTTCAACAATTACCTTTGCTTTCAAATTTAAAACCTGCTCGATAAATAATGTAATATTTTGGAAACTTTGTTCTAATTTAAAATAAAAAACGAAAAAAACAAATTCGTTTTCATGTTCTACATTGTGATACAATAAACCTGTTAAACCTTCAAATTCGCAAAGTTGTTATCGAAGCTTTCGAGCCCTATCGAAACCCGTCGAAACCCATCGAAACCCATCGAAACCAAAACTGTCAAATAATTTCTGACAAGTTTCGACATTTGCCAAAATGGGTTTAGGGTTTTGCCCCGCGACTATAGGTACATTCATAGTTTTGTAGATTAAAAAAAATAAAATTAAAACTCAAATTATGATCATTTAGCAGAAATTGACCTCACGAACAAATTCTTTTAAGATTTGAAATAATTATACTTACAATAATCATGTAAGTATCATATTTTCGAGCTTGCTCGAATTGTTATATTGTTCTCAAAAAAATAAATGCTTCTGGAGCATTTCTTTCAACAGAGCGAAGCTCCCGCTCCAGAAATGATGTTTTCTTAGATTTGTTAATTTAATGTATAAAAAACAAAACTTACCATTTTCAATTTGAACTATCCAGAAGAACGGATTCTGGTTAAGGATCGCCATAGGAGAAATGTAAATTTATATTTATTTAAATTAAAAATAAAAATAAAAATAAAAATATTCCATTTCTTTTAGGCAGTTCTTCGTTAGATAATTCAATAGGTAAAAAAAAATTTTTTCTTTGATCAAAATAAATAAAAAAAAAAAGTGAGATTTTATATTCCATTACGAGTTTAGTAAAGTTCGCGAGACAGCATGCATTGAGTATATCTTTGTACCAACTAATATTTTCGAATTCCTTTCAGGCTGGTAGTGTATTATATTTACAAAGATAGTATATATTATTAGGAAGATTCATTTCTAGTCCATTAAAAACTTGTTTATTTTATTAAATTTAAACAAGACATGCATTAATACCTAATAACGTTTTTGAAATAAATGCTATCCTTCAATTTGACGAAATAGTCTGACTAGCCATGTTTTAATTATTAATCTAAAAAACTTTTGTATATAATCTTTTAAATAAATAAAATAAAATAAAATATATTTTCATTTAATTCTATAAATTCACAAAATTTCGGACAATGCACTCGGTTTTATTATGTATTAAAATGATATTTCCTAACAAATGTTCACTTAACATCGCGAGAAAATTTAATGAAACTACAAAAATTTATACAATTCCAACTCAATAGAAAAAATTTGTATTGATATGATATTTATTCAAACATTAAATTTAAAGGAAATCCATCAAGAATTATACTTTTTAAAGAAATTACTGAGAAGTATATAATTTTATCATTCATATTTCTACCGAAGAGTCACGCAACGTTTTATACTAATCCTTAAGTCACAAGTCACGTCACAGAGTCACATATTCAATAGTGAAGGAAAAAAGAATTATCATACTTACAATGACAATGACTATCGCAGGCTTTGCAATTACTGCATGTTGTGAGTTCAGTACACCCATAGCCAAAACACTTTCGGTCACCTTTAATAAAAAAGAAAAGAAAAAAAATGAAGTTAGCGTTAGTTAGTAGAAATTCTAGCTGAATAAAAATGACTCTGTGACTCTGACTCTGACTCTGACTCTGTGACTCATCGCAAACTTACTCATTTCATTAATACACTTTTTTGTTAAAAAAAAAAAAAAAAAAGCGAAAAAGAAAATTTTACCCTTTATATAAAAATATTCCTTTCTCCTCAATCTAATCTAATCAAATAAATCAAATAATTTAACGACTAGTTTTTAATGACTCATAGTTATGCAATTTGTTTCTTCTTTTTTCTTCAAGTTTCTATCTTGAAATCTTGATTACGCCAATCTAAAATAGAACAATAATTAAACCCATTACCAATTGTTAATATTTGTGAGACTGTGATTTGTGTAAAAAATTTACAAAAAGTAACTCTATTTTTATCTGTTAATTACCGTACCATCGATTATCAATTTTATAAACTTTAAGTTGCCCGAGTAGAGAGTGTTTAGCGGAAAGAATTAAACCGGGGGCTGAAAAATAAATAAATTTTTTTTTTTCTTTGTGAGAACCTTTGCTATAATATTCTTCTATCCAGAAAATAGTAAGCATTTAGCATTAAATGAAAAGAAAGTATTGTCCTCGGATTTACTACTAGAAAACTCTATTGGAAGAATACACTAAAGAGTACTCTGTTAAATAGTTTCCGCATGATGAAAATTTAATCAATAGGCAATTATTTTTGACAAATGCGTTATAAATACTTAAACATCATGCAATAACGTCTGCATGGATGAGGATTACCAAAAGAATACTTCGAATATAATATAGTTCGACGTAATGCATAATATTTAAGCTTATTGTTGTCTTGGTTTGTTAAGAACTGTACGAAAAGTATTATAATTGGCGCAATGCAATTTAATTAAATTTGGCCATATATGTAATGACTCGTTTTCGATAGGTTCTTATCTAAAATAGGAAATTTACTTGTGTCGTTCTGGTTTATAGTTTAATGAATGTCGTGAAAATAAAACCAAATTAAAATAACTTCTCGCTAGTGTTGTATTCAGTTCTTTTTCGTTTATGTATTTGTTAAACAATTTAAAATGTAAGAAGATTTTATTGAATAAAAATGAAGTAATGTCGACTCTAATTAATCAATTCAATATATTAAACTAAATAAATGCCAATTGCTAAAACTCTAATTAATAAAATTGCACAAATACAAAAAATTGTGTAATCGGAAATTAATATGAAATTATAATGTTAAGCGTAAATATCGCGAAGGGATAAAAAAGGTTTTTTAAGGTGTATATATGCAAAAAAATAAAGACGAATGTGGTATGTTGAGATGTTAAGGATTTCCAGTGCGTATTTATTAAAAAAAATAATTATTAGGACAGCTTGGCATCCGGTCATTTTTTCATCTTAACAACCTGAACCGTGACATGCGAAATTATGGTACCTCTGGGCGGAATTACATTTAATGTAATGGTTTCACGCTATTAATTATTTCGAAACCGAAATTTCAACAGAAAGTAAGCCAAACAAAACGAAAAATGTATACAACTAGGAATACAAGTGATGTAAAAAGAGAAATCCAACAAACTATTTCTCATTTTATTAATTTTAATAATAATTTGGATAGATCTGAAAGTAATTATTTTATAATAATTATAATTTATTTAAACTACAATTAGAAATTACGAAACGAACATTCTCTAACGTCTTTGGCATATAATTTTAATTAATGGAATCAATGTAAAAACAATTGGACTATCGTCTTCAAATTATTTTTTTTTTTTTTACATAAATGTCTTCAATTATTTTAACAAACCTACATTAAATTTAACCGATAATTGGGATTTGGGATTTTTTTTTTTTTTTCGATTCTAACACCAATAGGTTATATCTCAATGGGCATTGGGTGTTGCCCAAATCCAATGGTATGGTGACAAGTATAGTACGTGCCTAAATGAACGAGTACTACTAAAGCTCGGGTCATGTATTAATAATTTTTGATAAATGTGAGAGAATTTAGCATTTGTAATATTATGGTATTTTAACAGTGTGATTTTTAGGATCGTAAAGCGGATTTATGCGAAAATATTTTATTTAAAAAATATATTAGAATAATTAGTACATATTAACTAGCTTAAAAATACGTCCAATCATTTATTCAGATGTGAAATTCTTAAAACCATTTCGTACGACTCTCGACAAAACTTCCAACCCTACAGTTCTTCCAACAATTTTTCCTACACTTTTTCCTGCTACCTTACCCGCAGATACACCAACTCGAAGAGCACCAACACACGCAATATCCATAACAGCCCCGACAGCCCCATTTCTAAGTCTTTGTTTTGCTAAATTTTTCTTTCCTATCTTATAGTATACACCAGAAGAAATCAGTTGGTATGTCGAGCCAGCTACTGGTAAAATGTCAATGACTTGAGCTATTATGTTCTCGACCGTCTGAAACGAGCTAAGAACCTGAAATTCAATACCCTTGTATTGTAATTCTGAGAATCTATTAGTCAAAATTTGCAGGCTTTGCGCTCTTTTATTTCTATGAAAAGTATCATCTTCTTCTTCTTCATCCCAAGGAAAGTCAACCGGAATAATCGGATAATCTCCAAATATCTTCTTTATTGCGTTTAGGTTCCTTTCTACCCATCTCTGTCCACTATTAGTGATAATGATAATGAAATTTTCATCACTTCCCTCAAATATATTTTTAAATAATTGGAACATTTTACGATCTTCTACAGTAAATCTACCCTGCTTTTTAACGTAAGCTATATAATTGAGTGGGACCTGACATATAGTAAAATAATTTCTTATCGCGTTGACAGCCTTATTATGCGGAACACTTCCAGAAACTGTTTCACCTACTCCAATCGTATCGTATACTTCAAATACATCATTAGCACCACATACAAGATCAACACTTGCCCCAACAGCACCATCGTTAATTTTGAACGCATTTCTTCTTTGAAAATTGCCTTCATGATCTTTAACCTCGTCATAAATGTCACCTTGAATCAGCATGTTAGCAATAGAGGATTTTCCTTGTCCAGCAAGTCCAAAAAGAACAATTCTGGTTCGTTCACTCATGTTTGATTTATAAATTATAACGAGAACTAAACAAAAAGTCTTATCGATTCGTCTAAATTGACTGATTGGAGTTTAGTAAGAATTTATTTTAAGACGTTGAGTTAAAAATTTGTTGGGAGGTTTTCTACTTCTATATTTCTTTTAAAAAAAGAATATAGAATTTTCCAACTCGAAGAAGAGTGAAGAAGACTGTGAGAAAATCGAGTCTTTAAATATTTTAAATTTTTTTGTCATTGATATGTACATACATACATATTATTAGACAATTATAGTTACTATTTCTCTGTTCCATTAAAAGTATCAGGGGGAAGATCATCAATTTAATGTAAATAAAAAAAAAAATCGTAACTCTTAAGTAATTGCAAAATTACTAATGATCATGAGTAATTGTATAGTTCATTTAAAAATCTTTCATTGAAATATTTTTAAACAATTTTAGAAATGACTGTGAAGACCTTTGAACAAAGTTTCTTTTACTTCCGTAAAACTGGAATTTAACAAAGATTTTCAAAGTCTTTTCGCAAGATAATCTTGAAGAACAATATTGATTGCCACCTGTTCAATAGAAAATATTTTTTTTTTTTGACCCGTCACAATAACCTAAAAAATTATCCCTCAAATATTTAAAAATTGAAACATCACCAGTGTCACATCGATGAACACCTAAATTATACCAGCCAATCGTAGCGTGGGAGTAAATTAGTTACGTCATAAAATTTTAATTAATTGTTCATCGGTGAAAAAACCAAGATTGGAAAGCGTAGACGTCATTTTTTGTTATTTATGAATGACGTAAATGATGATCGTCGATGATTGTTCATTGGCCAATTTTTGTTTCTTTGAGGCTCTCATTCCAACTTTTCTTTACTTTTTGGTGGGTATCTTTTTTCGTTTTTTTTTTAATAAAAATGAAGTAAACCAAATAATAACTTACATTTTATTATTTCAAGGAATCTTTTAAACGATGGCTCGAAAGACACGACAGGTTCGTGTTCAAGGTGTCCCTCGTGCCGCGCCAAGGCGACGACCTATTTTTTCAACTTCCCTTTCTTTTAAACCCCTTCAGTTCCCTCTTCTTCTAACACTTTAGCAGCTGTACCTTCTTCCCTTCCCCTTATTCTGCAGCTGCTTCTTCTTCTCTTTCTTCACTTTCTTCCGATTTTTCTCCCTCTTCTTCATCCCCTAATTTACCTCCTACTAATACTTCTCCTTCTTTAGCTTTTTTTCCCCATTCTCCTATATTTCCCGTTTATTCTCCTTCTCCTGCTTCTCCAACTTCTTCGATTTCCTCTACTCCTCCTTCACCTTTCCCTTTACCTATTCCCGCTTCTTTTTTTGTTCCTCCTCCAATTCCTCCCGTTATTTCTCTTCCTCCTTCTCTACAATTTATCGTTCTCCTGCTTCCCCTCCTTCCCCCTCTTTAAGTTCATCCCCTTTTTCATCTCCTTTCACTTCCTCTATTTCGTCTTCTTCTAATTCTTCTACCCTTCTTTTACCTTTCCATTTTTTAACCGACCCTTTATTCATTTTCGTTTTCTTAGGTGGCCAGAGCCAATGGATCTTGATCCACCATGCATTTTTATTGAAACCCCCTTTATTCTAATTAGTGGCCCGAACCAATGGATCTTGATCCTCCTGGTTCTTACGTAGCCATTGATTATGGTTTTTATCCCTTCCCCCTTCGTTTTTAACTGACCACCTCCTTCTTTTTGTCGTCTTGGCCGGCACTTAAAAAAAATTTTTCAAATGTAATTTATCATTTAATTCATTTCACTCAAAGATGGTTAAATTTCTCGTTAATTACGTCATTTAACTTCAATTATTTTTATTAATTCTAATTTGATATGGACAAATATAATATAAATATAAAAGTAATCTATTCATTTCTATAATAATTATCTATTCTCTCTACCAAATTGCGCTCAAGAGTGAGCGTTGGAGCATACGACCATTTTTCCTGGTTGAGCCCCCAGAACCTCTCTTCTCAATTCTTATTTCAACAAGATCAACTCCCTCATCCTCGGTGCTATCCTCGCATGCAGCTGAAAGTTCTTCTTTCATTTGACCAGGACCGCCGAAAATATTGGTTTCAAGTTGCTCATCCATTGGATGAGCTTCGATATAGGTCAAGTGAACCTTTGCAATTTTAGTCCAACATTCACCGCAATTCCAATCCTTTGGAATTTCTTTGGTGGATCCATCGGGTAGGAATAAGGTCTTCCCATCAAGAGATATGGCAATGTTTGTATCCCCATTACTTTCTTTCTTGACGAATTCAAACAATTTAGTGAACATTTCGATAAAACAAAATTCTTATTAAAAAAAAAAAAAAGTTCCAAAATATCGTTAGCCCTCGTAATAATTTCAACGTTATACGTATATTTATTTGTTTAAAGTATTTCTACGTACCTCCTTTATCGTTCTTGAGACAAGAGACTTCGTGATATGGAATACCACCATAATAAGTGAGAAATGTACCGTAAGCCATCAACGAATTGACATCAAGCGTTCTGGGATCAGCGCTTAAATCAAAAGGAGCCGACAATTCAGTGGCACAATCCGTCTTGAGCTTTTCCAAGAGTTGTTCAATTTCTGATGGATCACATGTATACTCTATTGCGCAATACTTATCCATTGCTGACTTTAAAGGTTTGAGATCGTAGGAAATGTTAAACTCGGAGAATTCATAACCAGCTTTTTTGTACTCTTCAGAGATAACGTGGTCAAAATTAATTCTTGTTGGACATTTAGATGAAGGGGTGATACCGGTTAAAAATGATAAGGCGCCATCATCATATACCGTTTTTTGGCAAACGTTACACTCGGTCGCATTAAAGGTTTCTTCGCAAGATTTCTGAGCGAGGGTTACAAAAGGAATTACGGTTGCCAATAACCAAAGAATCAAGGTAATTTTTTTATACATCGTTGAAAAATAAAGGTTTCTTAATAAAAAAACAAAGAAATTTGTTATTTAGATTCAACTTTTTGTGAAGAATTCTCAGAATTTTTCGCACCGTTAAATACTTAAATTTTTTTTTTCGAAATTAGATTTCCCACTTTATCCGTTTTGTAAACAAAGCCCACCCAAATGCGGAAATACTTACCTTCAAAGGAACCTTACAAACTAATTTCATTCCGACTTACAAGCCCATCATCATTATAAGCCGCCGATCACATAGCCCTGATGACTTGAGGCTTTCTTTCGCTTCGAGGGGATCTTTTTTTTTTTTTTGATTTCCAAAGGCTATGCTGCGGCAGTTCACCATTAAAACATAAGGCTATAACCATAATGAGGGCGCATTGTTTGTTTCATTATAAATTTTGGATGGATTTGGATTTAAGAATCTTCAATGTGTTCAATCCTTATTGTAAAAAGTGTGAATTAAATTAGTAAATAAAAAAGGAATTCAATGATGTTACGAAGAGATTTTAATTCTATAATATAAAATTAATAAGCCAGCCCCAAATAAGGTCCATCCATTTTACTATTAGCTTTCACATGACCGTATGAGTTACCTCCGGCTGGAAAAAGGAATGATCTACGTGATCTAGGGATGGGAAGTTGTTAGTGATAACCGTTTGCGTCACTAAATGACTGCGTCAGTTAATGTCTCCAATGATCACTAGGAAAATCGTGATCATCATTTTCACTAATTTCACTGCTATCACGGTTATCGTTGTGATATTTATCATATTTATTATCATAGTTATATTTATTATCTCTTACTTATAATTGTATTTTATATAAATATCCTGTATTGTCGTCTTGACAAACTAACAAGTTTCTACCGTACAATTAATAAAGTATAATCTTAACAACATAAAAACTATATCTTTGCCAATATCTATTTCCTTAAAACATAAATCATCAATAAAGACGACCTGACCCTTCAACTTAAATAAATTCGTGTTTATTTCTTTCGTAGTTTACAACTTAAACTCCTTGTTAGCAAATAAGCTTTGTTATCCTAACGACGTAGTGTTTAGGCTTAACAATGTTAATCAAGCACAATCAGAAACGAGTTTATAAATTCTTAATTTTTTACAATAATACACATAATATATTTATATTTATCGATCACTTAAATTAAACTATATTAGCCAATCATATAATATTAAACTATTGCTTTTCGGTCATCAGTCACTGGTAAAATCGTTATGGAGTTCTTGAATATTATCTTATACCACAAGTACAAAAGGTTGCAATAATGAAAACGTATCAGCAAATGCAGCAAAGATTCTTCATTCAAGAAAACGAGAACTTCTGTCATACTCACATAATAATCCTATTAAGGTCTAGTCCCAAATGAAGCTTCAATTCCATGCTAAATCCTAACCTCATGACAATTTCAGACCTAACTTAGATATTGTTCAAAGGAAATTGGTATATTCTATATATGTAAAGGTTCACATAGTTCTTAGAAGCATTAAGACTTGGAATAATCCCATTATACGACTATCTCAACCATTTCTTCGACATCCAACATATTGGCAACTAGATATTGGTATTCAGTACAATTTTGTTGTTCTTTCATCAAGCCCATTTTTCCTGGGGAAACAACTACTGTATTCGAAGGATCCAGTATTAAAGTCAATCACGATAAGAAATCACCAATTCGGTATATGGAAAAATAATGAAATTTCTTTGCTATCCAATAATATAGACAAATTTACTTCCATGGATGAGATAATAACCTTAAAGATGAAGTTATGGGAATATTGACATTTATTAAATAATTTTAATGAAGATATGATTCGCGCGATCAATTTAGTCAATCGTATATTGATGTCAGATCAAGAGAAACGACGACTTTTTATGTCTTCTCTTTTAGGGTATTATATATCAGACAAGAAAAAATTTTAACTTCTTTTCCTTCTGGACTTTTGCTTGGTTACGACTTTAGTCCATCATAATTCTTTTTAAATACAACTTAATTAATTTGTTACTTTTAAAATTACTGCAGAAGTAGTCCATTGTACCTTTGTTGAACTTTTACGGT